AACACAAGGAAGCGAAGACTTCTTCAGCACCCGAGAATGACCTTTCTTCCCCACCTGTCTCCCTGCTTTCCTCTATTTCAGGAGACACCTCTTAACCGAGCTGCATTGAACTTCTTCCCCCTCCTGCCTGATCTTCTGCCAAAGGCTCGCGTGTTTCCTGCTCTGGCGCAGTCGGATCAGAGTGCTGCTTCCCAAAAATCCCCGTGTTTCCCACCGCTGCTGCTGCACTTATCTCACAACACGGTCCTTCAGGTTTTTTTGTTTGCTTGGTTTTGCAGGCACAAATAGTGGGGACATCTCGTATACACACCCTGTCGCTTAAACATTTCTAGATCTTGCCTGGCCTCTGTACACCACAACCAAGACAGGAGATTATTTTGGGCTAGATCTGCCCCGCCATGAGCAGACCCTCACTTTGGTTTGGATGCCGAAGCTTTGCTGCAAAACAAATGATACATATCAATACACCTGCAGAGAAGGAGAGCTGCCTGCAGCACACCAAGGCAGCCGTCTGAGCTGCTTCACTGACTCCAGACAGAACGGAGAAACGTATTTGAGGTCTCCATAATCAAAATTATGGTTATACCTACATGCATTTTCGTATCACAGTATTTTCAAAGGAAAGATGTTACACAGAAAAAGTAGGTGGGCTCACGACCAGCTTTAGATTTTTCCAAACTTAAATATTGCATGGTGACCTGGACAAAATAATTTCTCCAATACCAGTATGATGCTCACTTAGAGGGAAGGAAGGGAGACCTGTTGCATTGCAGTCACAGGCACTTTTGATCCAGGAATTTGTTAAAACCGCGAGTGTGGCGAGAAAGAGAGAGGTGGGCAATGGCCACGGACGTGAGAGGGGGGGTGTGGGTACACAGGAGCCATCTCAGCTCTGAGGAGATGGAGAGGTGAGAGTGCTGGGGCCGGTCCTGATGGCTGAAGCGTCAGGGCTGCCAAGTAGCTGTTGTCGAACGGGGACCATCTGCACTTAAAATTGCTATGGCCACTGGAGGGCCCTTCTTGGGCAGCCTGTTTCAGTGCTCCTACTCCACAGGCTCTTCTGCCCTCCACACCAATGTGCCTCACTGCTAGATAGTGCCCTGCCTCTCCGAAAGCCAGCACTGCCTGTCAGAGCTCTCCTTTCCCTGGCTAGCATGCGGGTGTCCGTCACTGAAATACGGATGGTCTTCCCAAACCGCTGGGATGAAAAAATAGCTGGGTGCTACAGGAGCTCTTCCTGCTCTACCTGTTTCTTTGCAAAACTTTACAAAACCTTCAGTGGTTTTGACGTGGTGATGAAAGAGTCACAAGTTTCACCTCACAGTGTTTACTGAGGCCTGATTCCCCTTTCTCTCCAAGAAGTCGGTGCCCAGGATCAGTCCATGGGAGCCTGTGGAGTGGTGCAGCAGGTAGAAGGAGGCTCTGAGATGGCCTAGCTGGAGGGTCTGACTCCCCCCCGTGCCAGCTGACACTGAAGTGGCGCTTTCGGACTGAGGGACCCCTGAGAGAGGCACTGGCAGAGCTGTAGGACACCGCTCATCATCCCCAGAGGACTCTACCCACTGCCCGGGCTACAGCAGCAGTGGCTGCTCTCTGCTCTCACGTGCCCCCGGCAGCCCGTCCCCAAGGCACGGAGTGGGGCACACCGCTGGACCCGCTCTGCAGCGCCCACCAGGGCTGCTCTTCGGCTGCCCGTGCCGGCAGCGTGGCTCTAACACCCCAACAACCAGTGGCATCTGCCCCCATCCAGACTGCTGGGAGTAAGGCTGGCTCCGGCCTCTCACTGAACGGGAGAGCGATGGGAAAGAAACGGCACAACCGAGGGGCCAGAGCATCCTCGTCCCGCAGCTGCAGGACACCCGCGCTGGCTTCTGCCTCCTCCCTTTAGGCTTTGATACGCAGCGATCGGTACTCGACGGGTACAAGTGAATGAAGCACTGCTTGTTACCGGCGCTTGTGAACGGCATCAAGACTTTGTGAGAACTCCTGATAAACTGAGTAACCCTCCAGCAGCAGAGCCTGTCTCCAGCTTATCCCAGGGAAAACACCAGTGCGCATTGATGGGGAGCAGTGCAAAGGTGGGCAGAGACAAGCTGATCAGATTCATAACAGTCACATTTGGGAAAGGCAGAATTTTTTTACTATTATTTTGTTTGGGTTTAATTTGTTCCTTTAAATTTTTTCTTTATTCTTTTGCTCAGCCACTTTATAATTTGTATTTTGAGCTTGTCACTGACACTTTCACGTAAAAGTTTCAGGATAGATTCTGCTTCAGAGCTGTTAGAAGTCTGCAATAGCCAGGCTGAAAACGAGGCAGTTACTTTGCACACGCGCGTCTCCAGAACAAGACCCTTTATTTCTCAACGTCCATCTCCCCTGTACAGAAGGAAACATTGGGTATTTCTTGGTACCTCACGTTAAACTCATCAGATCACCAGATCTCATCGCAACAGATGGACTCAAAGTATCAGCGACACTGGGCCGATTAGCAGATTAAAGGCTTCTGTACTGAATACATCTGTACTATGCTGATGCCATTTTTAAGCTGAAAAAATGAGAAATACCTCAAAAGATTTTTACTTCTCTTAGCCACGACTTAGGGGCCTAAGTATCACCTTCCAATTATTTTCAAATTTCTCTTTTTTGCAACATAGGCCATGATCCAGCAGAGCACTTAGGAACATGCTTTATTTTAAGATTCTGACTAATTGCTGTGAAATTGTACCTTGGGGCATGTAAACACTCTTTTGAATCAAAACCAGAGCCTGTGACTCCCAAACGAATACATGGTTTCCAGCATCAGAAGCAAGCTGGTGAATTCATTCATACGGAGGAATTTTATCTTTCAAAGTGTTTTGTGATATTCCATGCAAAGGACCGAAGCAACAACGACCACTTATTTTGCAGCTGTGCACAGTAACCCTCCGTGCCCGAGGGACAGGTCACTGCTGGACCGTACCAGGAATCCCCAGATTTCCACCAGCGAGATTCAGCGCACAAACCCGCATCTTTCTCTTCCCCTGAAGCTCCAAGAGGTCTGCTCCAACACACATAAAGTTTTATGAGCGCTCCGACTTTGGCCAGCAACTGGCTCCAGCGCTGATGACGGGAAAATAAATAAATAAATAGATTTAGTGTGTCCCTGTGGTGAAAAAAAAAGGTCTCTTCTTGCCCTACGGGCAGTGCAGTAATCCAGAAGACAACTCAAAGCCAACGTTGTGCTTCCCCCATCTCTGATGCCCTTGTAACAGAAAATACCATCGGAGTTCCCACCTGCTAGGCAGCTACCCCGCTCTTCTCACAGGTGGCTGAGCTTCAGTGGAGCATAAAAGCATCTCTGTCGTCTCTCGCTGCCACGTGCGAGGCTCCACGCACGATGCTTTGAGATCCCCGGCTGGCAGGTGGCCGGAACGATTGGTCCGATTATCGGCCACAGCGCCCCGACTGCCCCAAAACGACCCGCACGCTCCCCGCGACAAATGGCACCGAGTGTTAGAAGGTGCCTCACGGGCAGGTGGGTCCCTCGGGGGGAAGGTTGGGGTGGGACTGGTGACATGATCAAATAAAAGAGCAAGAAAATCATAAGCAGACACACATATATAATATGTACAGTGGCCATAGATGCATTTGCACCATGAAGGAAATCATCGAATTTTGGCCTGCAGAAAATGAGCAAATGCAGGAGTTTTTTAGTGCCAGGTGTGTCTGTCTAACTGACTAGTAAAAAGAGAAGGAAAGGTCCAAATGTGGGTCGAATGGAGGGGTGAAGCTGTGACAGGTGGTGTTATCTCTTCATTTGGTTTCAAACAAGAAATGCAGACGTATTCTTATACTTTGCACTACATGCTGCGGACAGAGAATTATCTCAGTAGTGTTCGGTTTGTACCTTTGCTCTCACTCTCTTCAACTTTTCCACAAAGCCAGCACTACGGCCATACGGAGCTGAAGGACATTCAAACTCTGCTTGGACACAGTCCTGTGTGACCTACCCTGGGTGACCCTGCTCTGGCAGGGGGGTTGGACTAGATGATCTTTTGGGGTCCCTTCCAACCTCCAACACTCTGTGATTCTGTAATTTACTAAACAGAAAATTCCAAGCCTCTCTGTAAGGATGACACGACTCAGACTGAGATAAGGCAGCGTAAGGAAAGCCTTGAACCTACCTAAATGCTCCCTGTGTGGGTTTCAGTCTGGATTTTTACAAGTCTCTTGAGTACTGCCAAGCTATCTCCAAAAAGCATCTAAGAAAATTAAGCCCATTACCACTAAATATTGAGTTCCCCGCAGAGGAGGCTGAACCTCTGTAAGAAAACTATTGGGTCCACAAATTGTTGGAAGTCAAAAAGCATTGCTCCGCTTACCAAATCAGTCTCCCAGCGAGTCTGCGCAGTGACTCGACTCAAAATATTTGCTCCCCAAATGCAAGGTACGTGGTGACGTGAGAAAAGGAATGAACACAGGGGGCTGCGTGTGGGTAAAAATCAGCTGGCCCATACAGAGCGCTAAAGGACTCCCTGATATTCCAGCTACAGGCACCTACGAACGCTGCGTTACGCTGTATTAATTATTGGCTCGCATAAGAGGCAAAGAATGAACGTGGGGAAGACAGGGAGATGAAGATAAGAGTGTATTAACAGTTGGTTCTTCCCTTCGTTAGCGTTCCTCCTCACTAAAATGAAGATGCTGGCTAGAACTGGGCTTTTTAAAAGACTGAATTATTAGCAAGACTCCACCAAAAGAAAAGTGTGCTTCCTCCCTTCCTGTAACAAGGACTGGGCTGCTTGCAATTGAAATAATTTAAAAATAAACAAAGAATGAACTGTGTGTTGGCACTTCTAGCCCCTCCGGTGTCATCCTGGGCAGGGAATGCAGAAAGTCTACTCAGCAGAGTGGATGTGGGGCTCCCGCGCTGGGGACGGAGAAGGGGTCACTTCAGAACATGCACGTCACTCGGGTCGATTTGTCTAAGCGTGTCCAGCGACTGTGTCACCTGGGAGATGCTACGATATCGTGGCTCCGGCAGCATCCACACTCCTGGGGTCCTTCAGGCCAATGATGAAACTGTTGGTTCTTCTGGCGCCATGAACTAGGGAGAGCACTTTGACTTTATCCACTTGATGGCCCCTGGCTACAAGAAATTCAATATCTTCTTCAGGAAACTCACCTGTAGGGATTTCAAAAGAGAAAGTTCTGTTCTAACCCTGTTGGGATCTGCTGTGTGAAGGAAACCACCTCTCCAGAAGGTGTCCCAGCTTGGGTGAGCCTCATAGCTCAGGAGGACCAGTACTCCCACCCCAAGGAGGGGGCTCTCAGCTCGCAGCGGCCAAGGCAGTGCTCTGTGCCAGGGGGGAAAAAAGAGGATCCAGAAGAACATTTAAAGATCCTCCTCTTTGGGAAAAGGAGAAATTACATTGTTGGCACATATTGTAGTTACTCTTCTTACAGAAGATGAGGTGCTGTTAAGAGTTTAGTTACAAATAATAGCATTAACAGTTGTTAGTCAAAAGAAGATGCAAGGCAGCTCAAAACAAATGATAGTAAAACAAGCTGCCAACTGAAAAACTTTGTGATAAGCCTTCCAACCCCCCCTTCACGTATTTCCTTATCTTCCAGCCATCTACCTTAAGTTACTTGCTCTTCTGCTTTTATTTTGTTTATTTGATCTTTCATAATTTCTGTATGAACAGAAGCGCCTGAAGATATGAAGCTGGGGATGCAGCTGGACAAGCTGAGCAGCCACACAGAAACCCCACAGTTATCTAAGCTATATATACTGCAGATGTATCTTAACATAGATCTTGTTGATACCAAATGTCCAAACCCACAAATTAGGACCTTCTGAAGTTCTGGATCTGTTTGGTTTCCAAGTCTGCAGGTCACACTCAACAGACACTTTCAGATTTTCCTCTGAAATGAAAAGGCCTAGAAACTTTGTGTATTTTGTGGGAAATGAGAACCAAATTCCCCTTGCGGTTCACTCTGTTCACAGAGTATGGGGCTTTGAGAAAAATGCCAAATAGACCAAGACTTGTAACAACAAGGACAAGAGCTGGTACAGAGTGTCAGCATGGATGCTGCATCTCCAGTGCTGCCAAGCTACAAGCCTTGCCATAAGCCTTGTCTTCTCCCCAGCTGGCAGAGTTAAGGGACACAGACTGGAAAGTGAAAAAATACACTTTATGGCACTGGTAATAAAGTGTAGAAAGATCTGCTAGTTTTCAGGACCTGTCTGGGTGAGGCTGTGGTTGCAAGCTCATTTATTTGGATACTCTCACCAGATCGCCGAAAGGTTTTAAGGACAGGACAAGGCTGCTCACCCAGAAGGTGAGCTGGGACAGCGGCAGGGGTGAGGAGAAGTGCCTGAAAGAGTTTGGGCAGGTGGTGCTAGAGGGACCAGGGAGCAAGACAAGAGGGAGAGGGCATGGCTCAGCAAGGGCTCCAAGCTTTGAAGAAGCTAGGGTGCTGCTTTTTGTCTTGGCTCAAATCCTCTGCGCCCACTGGGGACCCTAGAACACGGTGAGCTGTGTGCTGGGCAGTCACATCTTTCACAGCAAGGTGCTAAGAAAATCCTGCTCTTTTTCTAAACATGCTACATCTATACACCACACCCCGTCCAGTGTCCATACTCACTGTCAACCTGCAGGGTGTCGGACTGAAGCTGTGGGTGAAGTCGACCAAGTGACAAACTTTCACTCAGATTCTTGTTAAACGTTAAGACATTTAGCAAAACCTGCAAGGCAACAAAAGATCCTCAATAATAAAAGAAATGTAATGAGAACAGGAGAAGCCAACTTCCCGAGCAACCCCCTCACTGGTGGCTCCAACATCTGCAGATGCAGCTGGAAAAGAAGATTTTGACCTATTTACCAAACTGCACGATCTGATGCGGGGTTTTGCACATACAAAGAGGCCCTTGGGAAGTGGCTTGTGGATTGCTGGTGGAAAAGGGGCACCTCTTCAGGACCGTGTGGTCTTTTTGTCACACAGCCCCTGCTAAATTAGGAGAGTTGTGTGTCTGGAACATGACATCATCTGTAAATACGTGTTTGTTACAGCCAAAAGCTCAGCACGTGATTTCTCCCACCAAAGCTTTAGAAAGCAATGGTTGGCTTTAGTTCTGCTCCCAATAATGCCTGCCAAAAGGTAAGGAAAATGGAAGCCCTTCTTGCTGGGCCATTATTTTTATCAATCCATTGCCGTTATGCATGTCATCAAGCTAGTGGCAACTACTTCACCTCATTATAAATCAAAAATTCGGAGGAGCTGCTCAATTTATGGCAAGTGCTGAGCAGGGAGGAATTCAGCTGGGAATGTACTAAAAGGAGCTTTTCATAGAGAAAAGGGCTAAGGGGTTGCCAGTCTTCTGCAATTCTCTGAATATCAAATGCTCCTTTTCTTTCCTAATGATCCTTAAGATGAGCTTTGGACAGGTATTAGAACGACACAAAACCATTACAGATTTTGCCAAGATGCTTTTCCTCTACAGTTTCGAGCAGTGCCATGAGGAAAAGAGCAAGAGAAGTAAACCTGTAGCTCTTAGAGATCTGAAAACCAAAAGTGTGGAGCTGGTGACATCAAAGATTGAACTGGTAATCCCATGGCCACCAGTTTCAACACAGCCTCGGACATCAGATAGGGACAAGCTGTTCTTGAGGAGGGGACCCTACTCAGCGTTGAGCTCAGCAGCTGCTCCAAGAGGCCGGGTGCCCAGGCCCAGCACTGACCTGAACGATGCTGCTCAAGGCTTTGTCCCCGTTGTTCGCCCCCAGGCTGAGGTACGTCCCGCACATCCCCTCAGCCGGCCTCACGATGGTGGGCAACAGGAAAGACAGGGGCCGTTTCCGAGGCTGAAGGAGATTTTGCTGCAGTTGAAGAACAGACACACAGAAAAATTTCAACACAGCCGACGAAAGCTTTGCTGGCGCTCAGGCTGCGCAGGTTAACTTCTTACTCTCTACTCTTCAGTTGCACTTAGGTAGTTTAACAGGGCTGACATCCTCACTGCTCCGAGGTTCCCAGGATCTGTGCCGTTTCATGGCTCTCTTTACAGGTGTACGGAGCCGTACACCCACTTCCCAACCCAGCAAAGTGGAATGTTTTTACAATACATGGAAATAAGAAACAACAAAGCGGCACTGGAACCCACTGGTCTGTATTTGTTGCTTTCCAAGACCTGAAGATTATTTTTCTGCTCTCTCTTACTTTTAAGCCTGCAGAGCAGTAACTCATAGAGTCCTTAATTCAAGTCTACAGAAAAGTTGCTTTAAAGTGCATCTGGAGTAGAGGGAAAACAGGTAGCCAAGATATGCAACGTCCTTTGATGCATTATAATGATAACTGATACACATGAAGCCTTCTGTTTACTGTTTCAGTGGCTTGTATAATAAATAATAGGAGCTTTCTATAGACTCTTGTCTCTCAGTTATTAATACGGCATTAAATAGCCTCCCTGTTGTGAAGATGAGAATAAAATTGAAAAGAAATGGTACAGGCAGCTCAAATAAAGAATTTGTCATGTCATTCATTACCGGCCTGGGAATGGAGTGGTTCATTGTTTTATTTTGCCAGGAGAAGTCCAACATCTGGCTGTTCAGGAGGACTCCAGAGGGTGTTATTATTCCACTGCCAAAGGGGCGATTCAAAGAACTAAAGAGAAACAGGAAGAAACCTCATAAAAAATCCTGCCAGAGATTTTTTTACACTTTGAGGCTTTCAGGGCTCAAATTTTCTGTCCCATCTTGGTTTGACAGAGACCCTTTGGTAGTTCTTTAGGGCAGGTTAGATGTGAGCAGGAACCATGTGAGCAGTTCTGTCCTTCCCTCCAGGTGATGGATCTGTCTCCATGCCCCCATTAGTTCTCAAATTTGGCCACCACCTCTTCTTCAGGGTGCCCATTCAGGCCAATGCAGACATAATTCTCTGTAAGAGGGCTGTAGGATTGCACAGGGCAGAGCAGCACCAGCTCACACATCTCCATCCCATCTTCCCCATTTCTCCTGTTGCAGGCTTAACTGGGACAGAGCAGCCCAGCTCGGGGCTGGGCCCCTCCCGTCCTGCTGGACCTGCTCCCCTCTC